CAGACCACAGGCCACAGGGGGGGTGGGGGGGGATACCATGGGGGGGGGGGGGGTAGTGGGAACGCGGAGCGCAGACGCATATAGTCCCCCTGAATTACTGTAGATAGAATATGGAATTCCCCAAGACCGTAGTAAGATGCACCTAGACCCCATACTCTATCTACATAAAGGGGCCATAAGTTGTGGGGCCCAGGCGTAGCCCCACTGACCCTCCTAACTCGCTTGACTTCAAGAGCTCAATGGGACACAGCGACGAAAGGCTTCATGACTACGAGTACTACTATGACTATGGTTACCATTATCTTTAGTTTTCTTTGATGTTAGACAAGTCAAATTCATGACTGCTCGTTTACAAGAAATATTTTGTACGTGTCCTTGAAGGCGCCATCCATTGACGGATTATCCTGGACCGCATCACCACTGTTTCAATTTACTCATGCTGAGTGATTCGGGGGCCGCACCTGCTCAAACTCGTAGAAAAGAACTGCTCCACAGATCCAAACCAAGAGCGCCATGAACCTCTGCGTAGAGTTACATTTTCTTGTCCATTAATTACCTACATTACCTATAACCTACTAAAATGTCTCTTTTTAGGGGTTTACCGCAGAGGCTTGGTATGGCTTGGTGCCCTTCCGGGCTGTTCAATGCCTCGAGTCTTCTCAGAAGCTGACCCCGTGGCAACCATGGTTTCCCTGCAGCTCCGCCAGGCATCATCCAAGAGCGTGAAGCTTTCCACGAAATCCTGGGTTGCTGTTGAGGGAAGTTAAAGCAAGGTACCATAATGGGTATATAGTAAATAATGAGTTTCCACAATATAGTAACTGAAATTGAGTTCCTTAACAGCAACCCAGAATCTTCCAGCTGAAGAATACGGAGAAGCCGCGCGATTCGGAAGATGAAAGCGTTGAACTTTCAGGTGTTCAGGGACAGTGCTGGCACCATTGAGAGTAAGCAAGAGTCAGCAGCAGTGGCCTGCAACCCACTGATCCACATCACTGTCCTTGGCATAACTGCAGCAGCTACAGTAGGAGTCCACGAATTCAAGTTCTTCTCGTGCAGCATGCCATATCTGCATCTGAGGATCTGAATCCAGAAAGGTGCCACTGTCACCAAGTCGACAAGACCAAAGAAAGACACAATGTAATTTCTGCCTCAGCACGTTAAAAGCCGCTTAGAAACCCTGCAGCTAACGAGCGGCGCGGCGACTGCGCGGCTTGCTGATGATTCGCAGGCACATACTCGTGCCTTCTGAGGCCAGGACGGCAGAACATGTACCTGGAAGCAGCGCACACTCTACTGCTTCTGCCCCATGAAGAAATCTTTGTTTGTGGAAACGGGGAATTTGCAGGGTGAAAGTGGGGTTGAGGGTGCCGCTGTTTTGCGTCCTGGCACGACTCAGGACAACAGTTGCAAGCTGTTGGCTCTTGCTTGCCCTTGCTTTGGGGGGTTGTTCTTTGAGGCTTGGCAGCAGTTTGGCATTTCAGCGTTTTAGCCGTTAGGCCTTTGGCGCTAAGAGCAGCCTTTGGGGCTTGTGAGCTTTCCCTCCCTGCTTTCGGACTTAAGAGTTGTCATAAGTCACGTAGCCAAAGGCATGATGGAAGGGTGACTTCTTGGTGCCTGGAGGCTCAGAATCAGAGGTTCCCTTGGTTTGAGGGGCAGCTTGAATGCTTCAGAAGCTTGAGGGGGCATGCTTTGACATGAATGAGCTTTAGGGGTTTATTCGACGAATTTGGTTTAGGATCCGGATCGAGTGCATGAAACAAATGTGGGCAGTGACCTATGTCCCAAGGAAGCAAGCAGGCAACACATGAAGCAGTACGCGCTTGGCGCAATGAAGTGCGCACCCGACTCTCGACCGACAGTACTGACTACAGACGACTGTACACCCTGGCAAAACCGAGATGGACCGACGGCCCGGACATGCTATGAATCTTGCACGGGCTGATGCTCAACGCTGTGCCTACCGTAGGGACCTCAGGAAATTGGCAACACAGCCACGGTGCAGCCCCGCCTGCTGTTTGCAGGTGCACTCCAGACGTTGGCCGCATATTCGAAAGTAAAGACCAGCACGCTGACGAGTTCAAAGGCGTTCAGGATAGTGCTTCCAATTTCCTCCGGGGTGCATATGTCTGTCCAAGGCCTCATGGCTTCACAGCTTCCAGCCTGTTTTATCCAGGACATGCTCTCACCGATTACCGCCAGGACGTTGAGAACAATCAGGAGGAACATAACCTGCGTTCTTGCATCTTATCAAGTAGAAAACTCGAGCCCACAACAGCCTGGGGCCTTCTTGCATACACGGCCAGCCGTGGTCTTTTGCTCCAAGAACTTCACCATGAGCAATTTGTGGGGGCTGTCCTGGTCAGGCTCTCTAGTTGATTGTGAACATTGTGAAATAAAAGGTGTGACAGGTTTTTGCATGTCAAAAATATCTATCCTTCTGCGCTTTGTCTTTGAGCTCGCGCAAAGCCGTGCGCTGTGCCTGGCAAACGCACAGCATGTGCTGGGCAAACGCACAGCATGTGCTGGAGCATTGCAGCAATCCAAAGTCAAGCCTGCACCCGAACTGTTACCTGTCGAAGTCGGCGTCTTCGAATGTACTGTCGTAGTGCCTGCGGCAGCGCAGACAATCAAGAACACACAACAAACACGTGTTGCAGCAATCTGGGGGCCTTCTCTATCTTTGTCGCTGCTTCTTCTCGAAGTCGTCGCTGCTCTTCTCGGTACTTCGTAAGCTCCTCTGATATGACTGGACACTGCAACTCGACTGTTGGCAACGGAGGAGCTTCCCCCTGCCCGGACTTGTTCAGAAAATATGGCCCAGCCAGTCTGCTGTTGCAGACACATCCAAAATCTGTTGCAATCCTCCAGCCTCAAGGTCTAAGATACGAAAAGTCTCCTGAGCTTCAGCTTCCTGTACCCTCCAAGTGAGATTGCCCAAACAGCCCCTTACTCTTTTGGAAAACAAGAAAAACAGACCTGAGAGTTGGTGTGTGCGCTCCGCGAACGGGAGGGCGCCGACCGCACCTGGGAGTCCAAAGGACAGCGCCAGCATTTTCGTGCTGAACCGCGACGGCGAAGCCCCGCAGAAGGCGATGCGTCGCAGCAAATCTGTGTCGCACCAACTTGCGGCAATGAGGCTCCCCAGCATATAGAGCAAAACCTGCATCCGAAGATCCCGTGCAAGGCGCATGACCTAACTTATGCTCGTGCACGTACTTCCTGATGTTCTGAAGCCAATTTGTCACGGACGACAGACCCGTTTATTCCATGATCCACTCTCCATGGGGAATCCGACTGAGCAGATGTTTGTCCCATTGCACTTTTTGCTAGTAGCTTAGCTTTGTCTGATTCTACAAATGAGGCAATACTAATGGTAATCCGTAGAAATGACCATTTTTTGTTTGACATGCAGCTGAAGAGTAGCAGCCTAGCGAGCAAGTGAAACACGGGCAGTCATCTGACTGGCGCTTCAGGAGCGCATCACCCTTGGTAGGACAGGAGCCCGTCACCTAGCATCACACTACTAACCGGGCCCAGAAAGACTGCGAAGAGGGTACCAGGACCGAATCAAACTAGAAGAGAGGGTACAGTAGCATAACCTATGAAACCTCACTAGGTGATGTCAGAGTCTGATTTGACTGGCCTCATGAAGCATGCGCAGCATTCTTTATCATAGAAATGACTGTCTAATACTAGTAATATCAGCAACTTGGACAACATAATGATAGGGAGACGGAAAGATCCGAATTTACCGAACCTGACCCCCTTCTCGATAAATAAATTCTTGGCTCGGGTTATATAGCTTTAATGTTGCGGCTTAGGATTATGGAGAATCCAACAGCAAAGAAAGATCCGGAAATGAAATAGATACTGAGTTCGAATAGAACACTAACTCGGCAGTAATGACTTTCCCGCTAGGTGTGCCAAAGATGGATTGCACGTATGCCGTGCCGAACCAACAAACCGGGGGTCCTGTCCAAAAACATGAAACAGCTGAAAAACCTCAATTTGCCAATCCTACCATTGTTGCGGCCGCTAAGCACGTTTGGTTGAACAAGATCTTGGTGAGACATACGAACTGTGGGAAAGTTGAGTTTGGAAACATGAAGAGACAGCAAGACAATAGAAAACACAAGGCTCACGCGTCGGAAAAAACATATAGTTGTCTTGCTCATGGCCAAAGCCTCAAGCTGTCAGTATGGCACTACAAGATTTTCTGGGTGGCTATAGAATCTGGTGGCGTGCTCGACGAGCTGATTGCTTCGGCTGAAGTTCATCTGATCTGCCAACGTTCCGAGGGTGGCCAGGTTAAAGCTATGGATTTCTCTGGTGAGCACTGGAGGCCTTGACAATGCTTACCGCCAGCTAGCCCAATCAAGATATGAAGCACATACCAGCCAGGCGCAGCTTCCATGTTGCTCTAGAGGCTTTGTGGAACTAGGCACTAGACGGACGGGGCTTTGAGTGCTCTGAACTCTGGTCAGCAAGGAATTAAGGAACAGATCAGTATAGAAATCCCAACAGAATCTTCTGTAGTATAGCAGTTTCCATGCATCCTTCCCTCCAAACCGCTTTGGGCTCGAGGGTTTTGGGTTTAACCAAAGGTGACTGGTGGGGTTTAAAACTTTTGTCGTTGGCAGTTCGCAACTCGAGAAGCCAGCCAACCCATGGTCCCTCAAATCCGTTTAATTTTATGCTACTGTAAGGGTCTACACATTTACCAAGATGTGGGTTAGAAAGACATGAAAAACAAAGAGAAAGAGAGTGAGTTTGTGCGTGAGTTGAAGAGTGATTGAAGGATATATATAGGGTACTACCCCCATAAGAAATGGAGAATCAATTGAAAAATAAAATGGACACGCATAAGGACTAAAAAGTGACTAACAAGGTATATTACCTATTGATGAAACTGAATTGGAAGATGAAGTGGAAACTGGGGCTATCCCTCTCAGGGTGTAGAAACCTTCGGGATATGCCATGTCCGGTTCCGGTGTCCTGTGCGAAGCCCGAGGCCAGCAAGCCCGTTGGGACAGCTACGACCTTAAAGGCAGCTTTGAAAGCAGCAAGGGAGACTTGCCCACGTGCTACCTCAATCTGTTGGAGGCGGACCCCAACTGCGAACAGCAGGGCGACAAAGAGAACACACTTCGCCGGGAAATCGTAGTCAATCAGCGGGTAATCCCCTAGCATTCAACTTGCAGGAAACCAAAGGCTAGGTGACTGTTCAAAAGCAGTGCCTGTGAGGTGAACCAGCGTGTATGGCCTAGGGTTGCCGAGCAAGCACCGACTCTTTTTTTCTGCCGGCGGCCAAGAGCCGGGCATTGCCTCTGGCATGCTGCCATATCGCTGCGCCATTGTCAAGTCGTCAACCTGGCAAAGAAGTCTTGAGCTCTTGGGCTGCTTGGCTGGTTGTGTGAAATGCAAGTCTTTTGCCTGAGTTGCGTCATGTCGCTCTGTGAGCCACATAAGCGCAGAAAAGATCAGCCAAATCCTTGCCCAGAGCTGGTAAGATTTCCAACTTGAATGAGCCATTGCCTAAAGTCCTAGTATCCCCCTAAATTGTGTTTAGACTATAGCTCGAAAGGTCTCAATGGATCGCTGGTTAAGCTTTCGGCGCTGCAGATGCAAAAGCTGCAAGCTGGAACTCCTTGGCAGAATGAATGGTGGTGAAATGAAACAAGGGTCAAATCCTACCTGTAACCCAGATTAACTACGGTTTGAAGGGTAATACCTACTGACCAGGGGTCATTCCTACTATGCTACTAAAATGTAGGATATGTGGGTTGCAAGTAGACTAGACTCGAGCTGCCGTCCTTGGCATGTCTGCGGAAGACACGGCCAATCAGAGACCTCACGAAGGTTGAACACACGTATACCTTGGGTATTGCCCCCACCCAGAAACAGTCTATGATAAGAGGAACATTAAGGGCAATAAATCACATGTTACGTACCGAATTGTTTACCTGATATCCATGGCCTGGAGCCAGAACAGACAAAATCTTGCGAGCCGTCATCTTCTGACCGCAGGCACATGTAGGGCGCCAGCACAGATGGAATGTACTTGTCGAGAGTCAGCCTGAGATGGTAGTTTCCATAAATAGGATGAGCGAGCCCAAGATCGACCCTAAATTACTTTGATCCTAATTATTGGGACCCCAGGGCTCCCGGCAATCTGAATATGCGCAACATTCCTCGGAACTCAGCTTTGGTTAGCTAGGAATGAAGGAAGGGATCCCTGTAGTAGCCCCTTATAGTAGTTTCCTTTTTCTTTCCGATTCCTTCACTCGCAGCTAACCGAAGGCAAGGCGATGCACTGGAAGCGCAGGTTGGGCTTTCAACACGGGCTCTTCTGGATGGTTGTGCAGCTGTGAGAGCCCAGTGGCAGTGTTGCAGCCCGGACCCAGCCCATACTCGGTCAAAATTGCCATGTGTTTGCATTTGGCCCAAGAAACCCCCGCATTGGGTTTCAACCTGCATCTGAAATCCACAGCGGTAGCGCCCCTCCCAGCCTCAGACCACTACAAACACGGTGGCATCAGATTTCCTGCCCTCAGAGTCCGCGCACGTACAGGTGTGCTAGGATTGCAGCACCAAAACATGGTTCTGGAACTAGAGCCTCACTGTACCCTCAAATACATTACATTGTCCCTGGTAGCGGGTACTTCGGCCTAAATAGAGGGTAGAAGGAGGGTCTAGGTACATGCAGAGCTGTTGCACCGGATCGAATATCGTTGCACCCAAATTTCCAGACTTCAATGAAATGAATCGAAGGCCCCTTCTCTGCCCCCTCCCTCACTTTGGCGTATCGCAGAACCGTCGCCTTATGTATTCTCCAGTCTCTTGCCGCTTTGAAGCTCTAGGCTCTTCACCACAAATCTCCGAGAGTATCTGAGTATCTGCTCTTCGAGTTTTATGGGCTAAAGCTGATGGAGCTTCGCATGCCTGTGCTGCACAGCTAGATGTTGATGTTGCCAGGTCTTTTGTGGATGCTTTTTTGCAAGGACAGTTCGACGTTGGGGTCTCTGAGGCTTTCAGTCGAGGATCCATCATGCAAGTCAAAAAGTTCTAGCTCATTCCAATTGCAACTAGGTGTTTCTTGACAAGTAGATGTCTTGGAGCCAGCGTCCGGAAAGCATTGAAGTTTGTGACGTGTTGTGCAAATGAAAGTGACGGCGGTGTGAGTCACAGTCAATATTTCCAGCATATAATAAAAGAAATCAACAGACATGTGCCTTTACTAGGGTAAATATTCGAGACTATACTACGAACGTTGACGATACTTCATTTTAGCCGCTGCATCATTGCATCCACAGCAAAGTGCGTCGATCGCCTCGCGCCGGCAACGAAGCGAACCTCTCACTTCTAACGAACCAACCCAATACCCAATACTCCCCCGTGATGAAACAACATTAGGGATGGTCATTGTCGGGTGTCGGGGGCGTTTTAGTTTTAGACCAGACAAGCAGGCGTTAAGGGTTTAGGGCTTAGGGGGCAGAACCCCAATAACAACAAAAACAAAGAATCCGCCGAGGCCGGAGGTCTCTGTCGTTTAGATCCAGGTGCCGGAGACTAGTTTAACCCACCCCCTACCCCCTCCCAGTGCGCACGGCTCGTTTAAACAGCTCCGATTTTGTCGGTTTCCCAGGAGGGTGGTGTTGGAAATCAAACTCCAGGGTCCTGGGCCTGAAAGGCAGGGGGGGACAAAAAGCAAGCACTAGAAACAAGCCTGTTTTGGGGGCAGGGGCAGGGGGGGGAGGGGGGCTGGGGGTGTGGGGAAGGGGGGGTTAAGGGGGGGGTAGGGGGGAGGGAGGGTGCAGCCTCGTCTCACGTTAGCGATAAAATTAAATGACAAAGAAATGGAAAAAAAACATGGAAACCAGGCTCGCAAACCTCGACCTGCGTTAAGGGATTTGTGGCTTTGAGGAGATGACGAACCAGATTCATACATTTCATTTGTAGCAGTTCGGAACGTAAACATGTGGTCTCCATGCCGGAGAGAAACAGTGTGTGCCCGACTTCCAAGCCCCTCCTTATACCCCCTGTGTAGGCTTAAGTATCTGCTATTCGGGGCCATATACCCTGTTTGAAGATATAAGGAGGCTCTGGATACATGGCATTGAGGCATTGGACTTCGCCCAGGAGCACCTAACGTGATGCTTTAAGCAAAGTATACATCCCAACATAAACATACTATACTATTGATGAGCATTAAAGGGAATCCCAAAAAAAAAGCTAAATTGTTGGAAACCTCCATAGCCTAGAGACACCGTTCTGCCTAGTCGGAACGTGACGTGGGACACGCGCACGGCACAGCTGTAATCAAGCAGGGCATGCGAACAAGAACCCAACAAAACCTGAAAAATGCTCCTTGCAAGGCTCTAGAAAAAAAGACGCTAATCCATGCACTGATAACAACGCTCGAGACATCCTTTGCAATGTAGACTTGAAATCTGAGGTAAAGCAAGATTTGCCGTAGGGCAACATGCCAAGTAGACGCGCGGCATTGGCTTCGTGCACACAAGATGCAAACGACTGAACAGCTAGCTAGCCGCAGGCTGGACGCACCGACGCCCGCCACGGTGCCACAGCACCCCCAACCATGCAAAACAACACGATACTATTTACAAACATCCCGACAGCCAAGCACCATGTAGATGCATTGCACAAATTTGCGCACCAGTAGCGTACGCAAGTGTGTTTAAGCATGGGGGCGGGGGACGTGTGTGTAACAGTGTATTTCCAAAAACGCTGCTACTGAGGCGACTCTCTAATTCTATTGGTCCTTGGCATATAACGCTTGGCTTTAAGGTCAGCCACTCAACCTGCTCGCAGAAGGCGCAAAACTTTATAACCGCGTTCCTGTCCTTCTAGGGGTGAAAATGCTCAAATCGACAAAGTTCTACAAGGCACAGCAGCAAGCGCAACTTGCTGTCCAGAGACTACACCATTCCTGCTGAAACCCAAAGCAAACTCTCTGCCAGGGTTCGTAGCTCACCATCATATCGGTCTGCCACAGACGACCCGCAAAGAGCAAGGTAGTACGGAGCCTCGGCAACCCAACTGGGCCCCTACTAAAAAAGCTTCGTGCCATTTCCGTTTGCAGTGAGGCTCCTGCAATGGCAGTAAGATCTATCATTGCTGGAAGCGATGTTGCAAACCCAAATCTGGCTGCGTTGTCGCTTACCTTGCAGCCCACAGGAGTTCAAGATGCCTCGTTGGGTGGCTGACTTCAGGTCCTGGCGTAGCCCTTCTCTGCCCAGTAGGGAGCCTTGGCCACGACAGAGCAGGATGAACCATGACAGAGAGGATTCCTGCTTGCCAGCCTCGGGTGCGGTATAATATCGCAGCCCATATTCAACTGTGAACAGAAGTGTGGCGGTTATCTCGATGAAGTTCAGCACCTTTTTCCAAGCTCCGCTTCTGGCAAACGCTTGCAAGCTACAGGTTAGCCAGGCTTCAGGCATCACGGTTCAGAGAACCTGCTGGCGCAAAGCCGTGTACAGTCTCCTGCACAAAAATGCAATCTGCTGGCACATGACGCGAGTCAGTACGGCAGGTCTGTTCATGTCCAAGGTTTTTCATCAGGCCTCGTTGCAAACAACTCCTAACAACCCAAATGGATCCCGCTGCCGAGCAAGTCGTGGAACTATTGTCTTGGACTGAAGAGCTGCAGCCCCGCATGGCTCAAAAATGAATAGCGGTGTTTGGGAGTCCCTATAATAAGAGATATTGTATATTAGGGTCTATACTGGGGCCCCCTATTTGGGGGAACGCACAAATGCTGCAAGTCGGTGCTGCCAATGAAGAATCGACAAAGCGCTCCATAATGGCTGCCAGCACCGTGACCTCACATGGTCCAACACATCCTGACGTAACCCCCATACAATCTCTATCATATAGCCCCTATATCTATCTATCTGTATATATATATTCCCTGTATAACCATAAAGCCCATCTAATCCCTATATCATCCCTACAGACTTGGGACTCGTAGCGCATCCGAGCCGGACACTTGCTGCAGCTAAGGAACAAAAATGGCAAAGAAAATGCAGCGCTCAAAGTAAACTGCACGAGCTTCCCATGGATTGAGGTCTTCCACCTTGACGTTAATCATCAATCGCAGAGCAAGACACAGCTTACATCAAAAATACTGCCCCAGCCTGATTGGCAGCCGAACCTTGTAAAAACTTGTGAACAAGCTGACCTCAACAAAGTTGAAAGTCGAGCCAACATGCCCAAACTTAGACGAAACATTAAACCAAGTCCCTGGCGAAAGGAGCCCTCTGGTTGCTTCACGCCTGCAAGCTCCGAGGTGGGCTGTGGGTCAAATGCGGTTGCATGATGCGCCTGATGGCTTCGAAGGTGGGGCAATATCTTCGTCATCCTCCCAGGTCGGTGAGAGACCATCGGAAAGGCATCTGCTTTGCGCTGTCCTGCTCCAAGTAGTCTTGAAAGCCGGAACCCAGCAGGCCCATGGGAATCGTGACAAAGCCCACGCCAATCAATCCTTATGAGGATCTCACGGCTGTCATGCTGCCTGTCTGATTCTGTCTGCCTGCTTGTAGCCAAGGAACCCATCACTGCTGATATGCATTTCCCAACCTGGATTCTCATGGGTCCCCCTACTACACCCCGTAGACTGCCCCCATAGCTTCCCCCTTAACTAGCCTTGATTAGCCCTAACCATTCCTAGATAACTAGATGACCTTGAATATGGGGGAACATCGGGACCCATGAAAATCACAGCATGCCACGACACAGCCGAAATCAAAGCTTTCTTTAGGGCAGTGGCCGGCGTGTACTCGCACAGCGGGGCCTCGCCCGATAAGTTCAGAAGGGTCACCCACCTTCAGCAGCTACTGGGTTGCTGTTAAGTTCCTAAAGTAATTTACCATAATGGGTATGTATAGTAATTAGTATGGTTTAATTAAGTTCCTTAGTAGCATACCAGGCTAGGTCATGGCTGCACTTCTGGCTATCCCCGACTGCTGTGGTAGGTTCTCCAAACTGTGATCCCTTGTTGGGCACGATACATATTAAGGGCAACAAGTTTACTAGGAATTCACTGCACGCCAGAATTTGACAACCCCCCCACTACACAAGAACATTTGAAAGGCAGCCACATAGAGGTAGCCACGCTTGAGTAGTGGCCAGCCTGGTTAGGGCACTGCATGTCTTCGCTTGCCATGCCGGACTCAGTGAAAGGCACAGCATTGATTCTTACGCTCAGGTTCCAGCCATCTCGGGGTCAGGATTGTAACGCTCAGCATAGTACATGAGGGTGCTGAAAATGACCTGCACGGCTGCAAGGTTGTGTTGGCCCTCTGTGGTGGTGTCCAAGTACTGTGTACCGCACCCATAGCACAGCGGCAGCACCCCCAGTCACACACAGGACTGCCCTGATTGCAGAATATGGGGTCACTGGCTCACCAACGGCAAGGAAACTCAGATCGCCTGCTCTGGTACAGGATCCCCTTGAAAGTGCTGAAGGCGCCGATATAACGCTCCTGGCGAGTTGAAGAGCTCCCCCCGCAAGAAGTGCAGAATTCTCGCAAGCCGTCCAGCTTGAGGATTCTGAGAGTCGTGAAGGCGCGATACAAAGGCCGGCTGTACACCTGCCAAAGCAGGCCACTGTCCCGCTGCGAAATTCGGTAAACGTCTACCAAGGTCCGGCATAGCTGATGGCGGGCAGCACTGCACTCCTCAACATACGCAAAGTATCTCAAGAGTGAAATGGCAAATGGGTGAGGACCCCACAAGCCATCAACCAGACCGAAGCCACTTGTCATGTATCGCACGGGGGACCTTGCTGACCAGATCCTGCAAACAAAAAGCCACACAAGTGAGAGGCTGATGGCTGTTCCTGCAGATGCGCAGATGCTCCTGAAGGCATACTCCACCTGATACAGCTGTCCACCCGCTGAATTTAAAAGTTTTGGTCTCCGCGGTGAATTCTGGGCACGCTGCACAGAAGACGGCAGTGGCCACGAGGTCCAAGGTGTAGAGCAACATGGACAGCCTTTTGGCAGCAAAGCGATCTTTTTTGGGCTGACTTGCTTGACCCAAGGCATAGGCTCTTCAAGCTTGGAGGGCAAGTTGTGCACAGTTCCTAACACTTGATTGAACCCCCTTATGCTTGTGAACAACAAGACAACCACGCGCTGCACCTAGTATGAAGTGAGCGGAGGATGCCGCAACCAAGAATGCCTCACGAAAACGGAAGCTGCAAGAGCCAAAAGCTGAGACTGGCACGAAAGCGAAGGCAAGGATCTTGCTAACAGCGAGAACCAGATGTCAGCCATGTCCACAGTCACGTCGGCTATGCGATGCATGACGACCTGTGCCGGATCTGTGAAAGACCTGGCCGTTGGGGCTGCTGGATTTATGCCTCTCGCTCGCCGTCCAAGCATCGCACAATTGCAGCCTGTCAAGGCTGCGGCAAGCTGGATCCATTTGCTGTTGTGCAAAACCTGCTCACATGTAAGGGTCCTTGCCGCTCTGAGCTGAAGAGGCATCATCATTTTCGGTTGCAGACATTTCCTTCCAACTACGGGTGTCACCACGAGACTGCACAAATCAACTCCAATGGCGTCCTGCTTTTTCGCTGAAAGCTCTTTCTCTACAACTTCCGAGAAAGCGTTTCCAAGAGCTCCAGCTGGAATTGCCATCACTGCTGCTCCCATAACCTGGCAACTGTGCCGCCGACACCACGTGGAAGAAAGAGAGAGCTGGAGCAAACAGGCCTGAATGAAACCACCCACAAATCGTCCCCCAAGCGAATGCTTGTCCGCAAGAGGAAATTCGCCGAAGAAGTTCAGTAGCGAATAATACCTGAGCACAGAAGCCGTAGCCATTGTCAGGTGAAGCCAGGCTGTAGGGATCTATACGGATATACCGGGATATGTCTCTCCCGATGGTATCCCCCCATTCCCTCCCCCACCCATGCTTCAAAAGTGGCAACGGTCACAGGAAAGGGGCCCCTCAGGGTCACCATCCTCGTAACTGTCGTCGGTTTTGACGCCTCAAATCCTCGTAAGTCGTCACTTTTTGCCCCTCGTGCCTCATCGTGATCCTCGCAACTTTCATCGCTTTAAGAAAACCTCATATTGTGGTTGCCTTTCAAAATCACTCACAGTCCCAGGATTTGGAGTGGGCATATAGGGGTCTGAAGGGATATGGGAAAATCTGCATGAATGCAGATATGTAAGAATATACATATATATATATATGTACATAGGAAAATGTGATTTTGTTTTCTTGCTGGAAGGGAACATTGCCGCTGGAATGGAATGGAATCGATTCCAGCAAAGCCCCTTCTCCTTGTCGAGATCATCCTCACCCAAAAGTGACTTCCCGCTCCACTAGTTGAGGCAGCCGACTTCATCACAGCTACTGGGAACCGGGCTGGACAGTACAACATGTCAGCATTGTCTTTCTCGAACCAGTAATACAAAGCCGCGCAAATCACCTCAAATGTGCTCAGGGCAGCCCAGCATGAGCCTCGAGATGAAAAATGGTAAAGTGTTGCCTGCAGCTTCCGCAGAAGTACCAACACTGGTGAAAGCATGAGTTTTAGACAAAGATCATGGCGGGGGTAGACACAAGGACGCGAGGAAATTCTTTGTCCCAGCTTAAGAAGAGCTTCATGATTGCAGCCGCGAAGCCCAGACTGTGCAACCCGCGAAGCCACTAGCCATCAAGAGCTTGTAGCTCTTCTGCCAAATGACATCATATGGCCTAGGTCTCCAAATAGTTTGGGAAAATCTGGATAACTGGAAATCAGACCCTAAAACCTATTTACTAGTTCTTAGTAGGGAATGGAATCTATCCCCATATACTACATTCCCCTTCCCCTACTAAGAACCAATAAGCCTGAAGCTCCGAAAAGTCTGGACAACTATGTCTGCCGTGTGTAAGCGCACTACAGCGGCGGAAGGAGGCGTAGCAGCCGTGCCTGGGTCTCAAATGCTGAAAGACCGGGATATACGGAGTACACGGGATATGTATGTAGAATGGTGCCCTGTTGATGTATGTATACCCCATGTAGTGGAAAATAAAATGGAAAAAATCGGCCATGCCGCCCTGCAAGTGCGTTGGTTTTCTGCTGCTTTCTGCACACAAAAAAGGGAGCGTTGTCCTGTGCTCCTCACATTTTTGAGTTCAGACTGAGACTTGGCCAATCACCACTCGGACCCACTGGGTGGCCAAATACTTCTGCTCTCCCGGAATTAGCAGATCGACCTTTGGCCAAGCATGCTTCAGACTTCCGTGCACGCAACTGTACATACTGCTGGGCGCGTCACATAGAAGGGCATGATGGAAACAAGGTCAACAATGGAAAAGAAGTTCGTGAACTGAGTTCAGCGATTGCTTCATTTGCGGCTGAGATCAATTCGACTGCTATTCTGAGGATGCCACCACCCACCTGATGCGAGCTAGACATGATCCAGCTTGAGTGCTGAAGCGTATAACCTGAAGGAATGCCACATGCGCTGCCGCTGCAGAAAAGTGAGCCCTGGAAGTGAGGTTCTGGCGTATTCCACGGTGAAAATGCACACCGTTATGGTCTCAATCCTGTCAAACCTCAAGATCAAAAAAGTACTCCAAAAACGCAGTTGTGCATGTAGACTCCATCTGGCCCTCAGATGCTACGCCGGCGGATAGAAGCCGGTGGTTTGCAGTAAACGGATGGCCACAATTAGCGTGTAAGTCACGGGCACTGGCTGATGCTGAGTCATGCTGGGCTCTGTGGACAGCATGAAGGAAGCAACGTTCACCAGGATGACAATGGTAAGCGACAAGCTGTACGCTGACCCAAGGGGGCCCTTAGCACACAGACACACACACACACACAAACACTGCATGATTGCAACATTGCGGCCACATGCTTTTGACAAGCCAAGCCTTCCCCTCGAGAACATCATAGATGCGTGCTCTTAGAGGCAGCTTGCGGGGCTTTGGCAACAAAGGCTCCTGACAAGGAGCAGGGGTTCTCTCAGAATCGTTCCCAAAAGCCTGTCCCCTAAGCCCTGAACCCTGAGCCCAGTACAAACGACATAAACCTCTTTAAACTAATGACCTGCATGGCAGCGCTGGCAGCGCAGCACCACGATTCGCCACTTTGCCTTTCGCCCCTTTACAGGACCAGCTTGGGGTCACACTGCAGGTGCACTGGTGGCACCACCCTGTGCCCTCATGCTTCTTGAGCCAGCATGGCTTGCATGTCTGCCTACTCTTGCAGTGGATTTGCGCAGTCAAGCAGAAGTGATGGGACGCAAAGTTTGGCCTTGCGGTCGAGGATTGACTGCAGCTCAACTTCTGCAGCACTGATTCGACGTAGTTGCCGCCTGAAGTCCTCAATAACCTGGGAAATCATTGCCCCAGCGACAGATCAGTCCATCCCAGCTAGCAGCGAAAATCAAGGGCTGCTGCTTGAAGCATGCTTTGAAGCCTATCTTTGTCTTCAATGCACCTGAGACTGGTCGGAAGTCAGTGTTTACCAGTTTGGGGTGTAAGGACATTTTTTCCGAATAGTCGGGTGTGGGGAGATCTGTATAGGAATATATATATACATATATATATATGCGGAATACTTCAGGATTGTATAGGGTTATGTAGGGATTGTATGGGACTATGTAGGGATTGCTTACCCCAAGAATGGCAAATCAAGTGAAAAAGAAAAGGAAAATGAAAGGGGCGCTGTGATTGTGTAGTGGTATGTAGTGGTTTAAGGACTGCTGAACTACCACCTCTGACCTCTTCGCTGATACCTTCCACGTTCATCCAACGTCTATCTGAGGTTTGGGCAATGAATTCCAGAGAGCTGTTTCCAGGCCTGGTTGTGGGTTGTGTCAGCCATGCCCAAGCTACCTTTGGCTTAGTCCGCCACGGCGTGTCTGCAGACGTTGCTCCCTTTGGAGCCTGTGTTTGTCAGTACAGCTTTGCAAAGCTTGACCAGAATCACCCACTTGCAGCTCCTCTCGGAATCTTCTGCTGTCACCTCTGGCAGCTCCTAGGTTCATCAAGACTCGCAAACGAAGATCTCGAGAGATGCAGCGAGCGGAACAGTCCTGCTGGGGCTCCTTCTGCACTAAATCCTGCATGGGAAATAATGTGGACAACATCGGCCATGCAGCGTGCGCATCCTGGTCTGGCAGCTGCAGCTGCCTCACGGAGGCAAACGCATGCCGAGCTATCGTGCACAGCCCAGTGCCCATCTTGAGCTGCCTTGTCTCTGGTGCCTCAGCTTGTGGCCGTGCGACATCCTGTAAAGACACCGAATGATCAAATGAGCAAAACCCGTTAGCAAACGTTTGCCACCCACCTCTTCCGTTGTCTCACCTGACAGGTGTTCCGCGCTGAGCCTACTTTGGTGGCATACGGTAGAAACCCTTCTCTTCCCTGCCCGCAACCCCGAAAAATCCGGAGCTTCCGCCCGCAAAATGCAAATGCACGGACCGCAGCTAATACTTCAACCTGCTGGTTTGCAGGACCCCACGAGCATCGTAGTAAGTCCTCTCGGAACCATCGCACCCCACAAGCGGTATGCAAGGGTTGCCAGCGTTGGGCGTAGATCTTGCTAGTCCATCCAGTTTAAAAGACTCTTTGCTCAAATGTACAACAGGCAGCAGTTCCATACTGCACTGATGCATACAGCTTCCACGGTCACAGCTAAGTCACTGAAGGGTCCAAAGGGATGTACACCAACTATGCTGGCGCACGCCCACCCCTTACATGATGCAATGCCTCCCTGCATAGATCTGCCTCCTTCGGTCACGCATGTGGGAGGAGTAAACGACTCTCAACGTTGAAGCTTGCCCCCACACTACCGCAAGTCTTGCACCAGTCTGGCCCTTCATGCAAGCCAGAGACCCACCTCTTGATGATGCTGATTCACGAGCTGGAGTGTATGGGAGTGTGCGTATAGTGCTGAGCGGGAGGGTTGGCGGTTCCAACACAGCCGACTCCACCCCCTTAGCCTGGCACTGCGGTCGCCGCATAATCATTTTCAGCCTCTGGCAGTACCTGAGCTTGTGACAGGCATGTGATGCGACGAGTGGAAAGTTTGCATCACGCCGAGTCCACGGCCTCCGCTGGCACTAGTGTTGGGCCTAAGCATGGAAATCACAGACCATAGGAACATGCACTGGCACTACAAGTTACAAGTACTGGACGCCCTCTGCTGAGTGGTTGACGCTCTGAGGCAGGACCAACGTCGGGTTTCGCTGCCTGGCCCAGCTTGTCTTCCATTCTTGGGGTGGCCAAGGCCAATCATGGCCTCCAACAAAGGCGAAGACGGGGAACGCGCAGTTCGTGCCGGGCTGGATGCCTGATCATGATATGCTGAAGCTTTCAAGGGGAGAAAAAGCTGCTCACCTTGGAGGCTGGAGGAGATTGAGCGGTTCGAGCTCGGCTGTTTGCCTGTCCAACATGCAGGAAAACCAACAAACACTTACGCCCTTACGCCCTGTGTCCTGAGAGATGCTGTCGCTGGAAGTCTCAGACTCAGACTCATCCTGCAGCTGCAGCAGCTATCCAGTGCCCATATTGAAGGGAAACAGCTCTTTCGGGTATTTTGAGCCTTAGCAATGGCTCGCTGAACCTCTGCGCTGCTGTCGCTGCTCTCGCTCGATGATCGCTGGACTACCTCGCATTGCAGAGCCTTCTGCAATTTGCCGCAAAAAAAAACTGTGCTGGCATCAACAACAAAGGCTGAGCTCTAGAAGGCATAGCTTGGCGGTTTAATACAGAATCCGTGAAAGAGCTCGTCCGAGCTTGGCACAACCTTTGGCAAGGGCCGTAATTGCTTTGGCGAACCATCGAAGTTCTCGACCTTACCAGTGAGTGGCAGAAGGTGCCAGGCTCGGCATTCTTTCTTCGTGGAAGGTAACGTCAAAAACAAACTGAACAGGACAGGCAAAAGCACCAACAGCAGAACAGACAAAGCCACTCCAACAGAACCAGGGGGAGCATACCCTCGGACGGCAATGGTGCTAAACCTGAAGCCTGAATTCAGATGCTTTCCAGAGCCTATGATCACCCTGAACCAAAGGAAGCTCTGACAGCCGACAGCCCCTTACTCTCCCACAGACAAAGCAAGACGAGGCCGCAGTCAGTGACAATACAGTTTTGCTCCGCCACTTCCTAGAAGGGCGAGGCTTGTCACCACCCCAGTGGTGGACCTGCCTTTTCATACCGCATCTATGAATACACAGACTGCCAAAAGTTCTTGATTTGTGGAATGATTTTTGTTGCAAGTGCATGGTGATATAAATTAAGTCCTTCTCATCTCGCCACTGGATGCCACTGGTATATAATGTTTGTTGCTGCGGTAGCGGTAGCACTGGCGTGTTTAATCAGATGTGCAGGTATTGGGCATAAGTATGCTTTGGGCAGGGATGCTGCAAATTGCTGAGGTCCCCTGATTCCTCTGGAGCATGAGCATTCTTATCGTGTGGGGCTTGGGCAAATGCGGACATGGATGATTTCATGTTTTCTGGTTAGTGCATGGATGTGCTGGCCCCCAGAATGCTGGACATTGTTACCATGGTTTGGGCATGGCGCATTTGTCCGTCGGGGCGTTGTGCGTTACTAACTATGGTTTGCGCCAAACGGTGTCTCAACATGTCGAGAAGATAGATCGCAATAGATGTTGTCACGGTTTGGGCGCTGCGCATTTGAACATGGATGTGGTGCTCTGGTAGTCATGCACTTCAGCAGGGACGTTCATTGGTCTGGTTGGGAAAGGATCTGCTCCTCATCACCAAAAATGCCTGAATGCGCTTGTTGCTGAAACTGAATGAGAGCCCATGAACCATCCATCCTGAAATGGATCGACCCTCCAAGACACGTTGAATGTCGCTTCTTGAATCCCGCACAACGCATTGGAATTGTCTTCAACTACGTACACACCTGAGTCCAGAGACCAGACGCAGTACAGGGATTGCGACCGTGAGTCGTCAGGAGCAACCATTGCCACAATCATTACGAGGTGCCAATGGACAGCTCATACCTGTTCTCTCATTGTTCTGACCTTCCTGATGTTCGAGAAACGGCCTTCAGACTAAAGATGCCATCCTTCCGTCTCCTTTCTATTCAGTCCTGATTTATGTCCTTCCAGCCTATCACTCTAATCCCAGCCCTACTGTGCATGGAGGAAATCTTCTACCAGCTTTTAGATGGCATACCTCAATTATCAGAATATGCTAAAGATCTGCAAGATTTTCCTCCATCCACCATACCTCACCCGGCTACCCATCCAGCACACCCTGACCTGGTGCAGGAAGACGCTGCCAGGCTGTCATGCCATCATATGGACCTTGACCTAAATTACTGTTCCCAAAACGGCGAACCTTTTATAGGGACCCATATTCTAATAAGGACCCCGCTACAAAAACCCGAATTAAAATGGATTCAGGGGAAATCCCAACATACACTTTCAGCCCAATCAATTTTGCATGAAGCCCCCCTGGGGTTCTGGCTGAATCAACATCACTGTCAGAGGAACTATCCTCCAAGGTCAAGGCGCAGCAAGGAAGGTACCGAACAGGGTTTCCCAAAATTAAGGGTACTATTTTGGGGGTCCCCATAATAAGGATCATGGTATTTGGGGGTCACACCCTAAACCCTAAACCCCAAACCCTAAACCCTAAACCCTGAACCCTAAACCCTAAACCCCTCAACCCCTAAACCCCTAAACCGCTACCACAGAAGCACTGGCAAACTGTTCCTGTCCTTGCCGCCTGGCATGCTTGCACATTGCTAGCTCCATGGATGCAGTTTCCCCTTTGCTAGATTCTAGGGTTTAGGGTTTAGGGTTTATGGGGTTTAGGGTTTAGGGTGTGTCCGTTCAAGTTGCCACAAACAGTTATCAGCGTGCTCCTTCCAATGAAAAAAGTTCTCGCTGCAGTTCATACCACAAATGTCTGCGCATGTTCGTGCATTCTCTGAAGACCTGTCAAAGCCCTGGGCCCAGCTATCTGCAGCAGCGACAAGATTCATGTTGCTACATGACTGAAGCTTTGCGCAGGACATGCTGAGAGGCATCCAACTTTTGACCGCTCTCAAGGTTCGCCCTCAGGTGGAACCTCCACAGGTGGCGCCACAGATACACAAAAGAATCAAACAAGCCAACCCCTTCGAGCCTGAGCCACCAAACTGCGAAGATCCTCCAGCGTCAAAACAGGGATGCCGGCAGCGGCAGCCTGGCAAAATTGCCTGCAACACCCTACAAGGGGTGCACTACTCAGGCTCGGCCTGGTTTAACTTTGAGCTGTCCTGCACAGGTCTTCCGTCCCATAGTCTGGAGCCAGCTACGATCTCAGCAAAGTCCGGAACTGCATGGGCTAGATTTTGGAAAAGCCCTCAGCCTCTTTGCTCAGCTGGACAACACTTAGCAGCTTGGTTGGGGCCAGAAACTGCAAGGGCAGAGTGCATACACAGACTTCATGTCGCTTCAGATGTGAGAAGGCACCCAAACGTTCGCAGTGTGGTTGAGTGTGTAGGGAGTTTTTCCCGCAATACCTTCTGGGCTTCTTGATCTTCATTGTATTTTTTGTTGGTCTTGACCACGAGAGGAGCAAGGAAAAGGGGAGGGTCGGCCGTCGACAAGTTGGGATCAAGATTGCTGAAGGGGTACGGTGAGGGGGTACGGTGAGCGAGCTAAGAGCCAAAGCGAAGTTTGTCGACAAAAAAATGTGAGCAATGGGAGCGATGGGAGCGAGATGAAGCGAGTGGGGAGAGGGGTGAGAGCGAGACAGACCTTATGTGGAGGCTTGTGGAGTTCGTTTAAAAGGGCCTTGTCAGTATGGGACATACTTTACATCTGGGCATTGCGTCGTGTTGCTGGTTTTCCCCTATTGGCTAGCCGATTAGTAGTCCAGTCTGACTTCGTTTTGGATCTGGCTGTGGTCATTACCCACATGCGCCAAACACCTGCCGCACTGTGGCCGAGTTACACATGTTGCAGCAACTTGCACACAGTGTTGCCATGCTTATTGTGTAGAGATGCATCTGTGAAACACACGTAAGCGGCTGGCCACCCCTGTTGCTGCTGGCTTGGATGGTGGCGAAACCTGGTGCGAAGGCCACCGCAAAATGCTTTTGCTTTACCCCACATGCACACACACAATCACACACACACACACACACACACACGTGCACGCGCGCAAATGAGGCGCCAACTTGAGATACTACCTGCAAACCGCAGCTGGATCCCACCGGCTATGGATGGGGGTAAAGCAACGGCAACATAGGTGCCTTGCCGCCCAGTACGCGGATAAAGCCTTCGAGCAGCTCACGCCTGCAATGGAGATAGAGGGAGTCAGAGTGCGAGAGAGCGAGCGAGAGAGCGAGAGAGAGAGAGAGAGAGAGAGAGAGAGAGCGAGAGAGAGAGAGAGACACAGAGACACAGAGAGAGAGAGAGAGAGAGAAAGAGAGATTTTCACGAAAATGAAATGCGCTGCCGCGCGAGCCACAGTCTCAGCTTCTCAGCGCTCTGCGCAATGTCATCTGGCTGGCCAGTGACCGCCTAGAACTGAAGACCAGCTTGTTAAGTTCTATTGGCTTCGAGGCAGTTGGTATGTTCCTGCTCTGGGACATCGGCCAGGCGCTGGCTTCTCAAGCTGTTTGGTCGCGATTCACGACACAAATTCCGGATTGCTTCAAGCCACCTGACGAACTATTGCTTTGCCAACAGCATGGAGGGAAAAGCCTCTTTTCTCGGCCTGTGCTGGACGAAAGCAGCAAAAATCTTTAATGAATCACTGGTCTTCTCCCCTGTCCTGAGCTCCAAACAGTTTTGCCAGGCCTCTGCTAACATAATAGGATTGTGGGATAAGCCACGCGCATTGCAATGTCACACACCCATCTGCAGTACTGAGGGTCCTGAACAATCCAAGATTGGCAAATTCTGTCGGAATTCATCTGAGAACCTCTGCATAGATCTCGGAAAACATCTTTCCCTTGTGCTTGCCTGCAGGAGGTATTCAGCACTATGGGAAATGGCAGATGCTGGATGATGCTGGTGCAGAGGACCCAGCCAACTTTCATTCTGTGTTGGCCACTCCTCAGTAGCAACAACACATCATTCGTGCAACCCTTGGTTTAACCTGAGTGCTTCAGGACCCGGCGCCAGATTGAAAGCTGCCTCAGTCCTGGGTTGCGTCAAGTGCATCAACCACCCAACAGCGGGCCTCGTGGGAGTACACACAGGCTCTCGCGTTGCGGGCACAGATTGAGATTGCGAGCCTGGAAGGGTTGCCGTTGGCCAGCTGGCTGCTCCGAATCTAGACTCTGCAGGGCATCTTTGCCTCCAGCACTGGTAGGCATCATGTGCGAAGCTGCTCCTGAAGGCAACCTGCCCAGCACGTTGTGCAAAACCTGTATGCAGAACAAACCTAGCGGAAAGACACAGCAAACGCCAAGGACAACATCGATGATTGGAAAGCATCATGCACATGTACATGCACAATTGTTTAAAAGCGTGCTCATGTCTTAAGTGCACAGATTCTGCCAGCTGACTCGTCAGATCACTGGCGAATTACGTTAGGTTGCTGACATGTTGGAACGCGCATGCTCAGGACTACAGGTGTTCGGCACAAATGGCAGGTGAGAGCTCTAGCCAAATGTGCGAGAGCGCTGATCATTTCCGCATCCTTGCTGCGAGCTTGTTGATAATGTGCAGAAAACTGGGTGCTTGTCTGTGACAGGAACAGGAATACGGAACTCAAACGCGCAATGCCGAGGTAGCGTCGAACCAGCATTGCAAATGCAGAAACACATGAAAGTTGTGATTGGAGACTGAACCCCAAACGGTTTAGGATTTAGGGTAAGTTCTTCCAAGTTGGCCAGTCTTGGGTCTGAGGTCTTGCGACGGCAAACAGAACGACGGACCTTGGGTGATCTAATTGCAACACCCCGCCCAACAAAAGGCTGACCAGACATCTCTGGCATCTCAAAAATTTAACTTTCTACAGTACAACATCCCCCTCAGCCCCTACACAGCTCCCCGCCTTCTGGGACGATCAGTGTCAGGCTTTGGTGAAGCAGGCTGACTGTTGACATTTGTACCTGTTAATACAAGGATGCCACTGTGTTCGCTTGCAAAGTTCCAATACGCTGGGACCTTTCTTCAGAACTGTCTGCATATGATTTCCAGTAGCTTGCCAGTACTTCCAAACTTCACAATTTTGTACAGCGTACTACATGCTTGGCAGTTTCTGCACGCACAGGCAGCAACCTTGTTTGGACAACAGCTGAGCCGCAAGCTGGCAGGCCCGCTTCCTCCGGCGCAAGGAGCAAAATGAGTCAAAGAACTCTGCGAGCAGGCTCCATGCTAGATGCTCTGGCGATGGCTTCACAAGGAATCCAAGGACTCAGATGCACCTAGCCAATTGTACCGAAATGCAAGGCTTTTCGGCACTGATTGTCAACTCCTGTTGGACCATCAATGTGCACCCAGACAGGGGACGGGGAAATCTCCAGACAGCAACTATTATTGAAAAATGTGACGAATCGGCTGCTCCTTGTTCCCGGGATCCCACTTCCAGTCATTCAGGTTTATAAGTACTACCAAAGGCTTTTCTGGTGTTTTTACAGCGTCGCGAAAAACACAATGTCTCAGCATAAGTACGAGTGGCAACGCCATCGCAATCCAGTTCAACAAGTGTATGTTACTTCAGTTGGTTCATGTCTGACAGCCTCGGATTCGAAAAAGCGATCCGGCAGCTGCAAACCTGCCAATGGAGAAGTGCAGCCAAATACGACACATGCCAGCAACCACAGCCTGGTACAAGAGCGTACTAACATCTTCTGACCACCCTTTGCTATCGCATCTGAGCCAAGCTCAAATCGCAAAAAAGGTCTTCAACAAGACTTGCTACAAGATTCAGGCAATGATCGCACTCGTGCTCTGCCACGCTCTCCCACTCTCATTTTTGCTGCGGCCTTTGCTCCACAGCTTCTGCCTTGCCAGACAGCATTTCTGCTGTATGACCACACGGAAGTATCAGCAAAACGTGATCACGGAATTTCGGAAATTGTGCTTTTCAGTCCATGGGGTGAGAACCTCGTTGGCAGAACAAAAATGATTACTGTTGTGGCGAGCCATCAAGAATTGGCTGGCCAGAACCACAGCAAGGCATTGGCACATGTTTAAACATTTTCGAACTGAGGCCAGCAACTATCAGTTCGTAGTAAAAAGACTCGAATTAGGGTACTTCTCAAACGCAACGTCTCCAGGCTTTACAATCACCGCAGCAAGGCCCAAGTGGGTTCCAGTACTTGCAAGAGGACAAAGCAGGCGCAGAGCTACCCAAGCCGCTCTGCATATGCAATGAAAGTGTGCGCACATGAGATAGGTACGCACTTCTCATTCCCAGACCCCTAGCGCGATGCATGCAAGGCTCCTCCAAGTACCCTTCTGGCTTCTTTCACTCAGTTCCGGGATAGGTGCCAGCTGTCGGGCTTCGCTTTCCCACTGTTCTTTGAGAAGGCGGACTGTGTGAGCTCGAAGGCCGGGCTCAGGGAGATGGCTACATGCAACCACCTGGGTTGCTGTTAAGGAACTTAATCATTAAGTTACCATTATTAGGAAACACCCCATTATTATTTACTACATACCAATATTATGGCAACTTAATTTAAGTTCCTAAACAGCAACCCAGCCACCTCCGGTGGAAGCAGGAAGCCGGCAGATGCTGCGGTGTGGTAGCCGAGCAGGCTGCGGCTTTCTCCCCGGACGGCTCGGGCGAGGGCTTGTCTAGGTGACAATGGGAGCATACCTTACTGGGAGTAAGGTATCAAGGAATATGTTAGCATTCTGGGATTGTCCAGGGATTATGGACAACAAAAGGAAGTACAACGTCTTAATAAGCTATATGCTCCCTGATTCCCTACTAACCACATGCAGGATACTGCGCCAAGCACAGTGCAAATCTTGATCGACACGATCAGCCGTCCACTTCACGTAGAGTCGCCATCGTTGCAAGTGCCACCGAAAGTTTCTAGCAAGGTGTCCATGCCAAAGATAAGGATGAGCATCTGTCAGTCCCAGTCTAGTATAAGAAAGACTTCGCTTTCCGGGCAGGGCAACGGCTACAAAAACTGTGAACAGCAAGGATGCGTGCGTGACCTTTGGTCCGTAGATGCAGACTGCCAATGCAATCGGACCAAGCAGCCACGCTGGTCGAAGCCACTCTGTCAGGAGCTGTTTTTTTGGCAAGCGCTGCTCAAGCAGCGTTGTGTGACTCTCTTGGGAGATGTCTTCATCTTCAATGCTCTTCTCGCTCCATGCATAGAAACCTTTGTCCTGTACCATCGCCCAGGACAGACCCCCGTGCAAGGAACTTCAGGTCTCCTGACCTTGAAATGCAAACGGCAAATGGCAAGCACACGTCAAGCACATGGCCAAGCATGGCTGCTATGCTTCCGCTGACGGTCGAGGAAACCAGGGGTTTTTGACGCTCGGATATGGCAGCTTGTTGCACCATATGCAAGGCGTGAGTTGGCACGCCCGCAGCCTTCAAAACTAGTGAAAACCAATGTACTTTCTGCCCTTGAGGATACCCCATCCTTGCAGACCTGGGCCTCTCTCAGGGTTCAGATTATTCAAACTAGAGGTAGCAAGTTCTCAGCTTTGGAGCCACGCTCCGCCCGCGCTGTAAGAAGTTCAGCGCCGGCCTATTGCGGGAAAAAAAAAAAGGTTGCTCGGACCGCTGATGCTTATCGGACATGAGATGCACAAGGCACTCTGAATTGCAAAGGCATGCCCAGGCTGCAAAGGCATGCCTGATTCTGAGAGGCTCTTCAAAGAGGATACCTTCTTGTTCGGGCCTCAAGCATCCAAGTATCATTGGCACATGGGATACAAAACCAAGCAACCCGTCTGGATCTGCACTTCTCTCCCACATACTGTCAGCAGCAACTAGGATATGCTTCAGCCTAGGAGCTACCGGCCTCACGTCCTGCCCAGCGAACAGGACGTGATTCAAGACTGGGCGACATCTTCGCTGACTTTCCAGTGCTGCCTTCTTGATTGGCACCCTCTGCTTCATCCTGCCGAGCCTGCGGGGACATTGGAATTGGAAGAAGAAACACTTCATGCATCCTTCACGGTATGGAAGAAAGTGGGAAGCGAACAATCGCAGGACCAGGCGAGTTGACCTCAGGCCACTGCGCACGACAACCAGCAAGTCAACCCAACACTGAGATGGAGGAATGCTGGGTCAAAGACGCGCCGGGCACCAGGTGGCCCACTCGCCCTGAAATGAAGAGCTGGCAGGCACAAACAGCTGGCTATGGCATGCAGAATCTGCGGTACTGTTCTTGGTGATGATGGAATTTCTCTAGAATTGAGGCACGACCGAAGGAGAAAGTACAATCCAGGCCAGCCGCACCCCGCCACGGACACTGCGGTTGCAGCAGCGCAGCCTGTAGGAGTAAGTATTCCTCGCTTTAACCTCAAAAGCTAACGCGGCCGCTAACGCTTTTTGAGAGTTGCCTGACGCCTGTAGGGTGAAAGCAGAGTGGAGCGATGCCTGACATCTGCAAGGTCATGATTTCCAACAAACTCAGAAAGGAAGCCTCAGACCCAGTCCATGCTTGTAATCATATTAATTCATTGGTCCCCTATCAAGAAAGAACGACGTGTGCTAAGCAAGGAACGTCAGCCACAGCAGATGCCGCTAGAGGTGGCGCGCCATGTGCGAATGACGGTGTGGGCCTCAGTGGACCCCAACAATGGGACATCAACTGAGTAGTGCTTGTTGGTGAATGAAACAAGTAAGATTCGACTTTTGTATAAATGGTCTACATACTGACTTAATGTGGCACCCGATTTAATGGA